CTATGTTTCAGGTGTAACGGAACGAATTGCTAGGCACCTCAAGAAGAACGACATCGTAGTGCGGTACGGCACGGTCAGCAAAATTCGGAACACACTCCCGATAGCCAAGGACAAACTAACTCCATTAAAAGGAGCGGGAGTCTATCGACTATCGTGTAGTTGTGGGAAGGTTTATGTTGGCCAAACTGGACGCAACGTCGAGTGCCGCATCAAGGAGCATGAGAGGGATGTAAGGCTGAAGAAGATCCAGCAGTCGGCGGTTGCGGAACATTGCCATGCAGAGGGGCACCGAATAGACTTCGAACAAACAAAGGTGCTGGCTAGGGACAACAGATACTACCAAAGACTGACAAGAGAAGCCATAGAGATTCACCGACATAAAAATAACGTCAACAGAGAGGATGGCTGGGAGCTTAGCAGAACATGGAAGATGGTGGTGAACACGAAGACCTCTTCCCGCCTCACACCGGACGCGAAGCAATTAGTTATTAATTAGTTTGTAATTAGCGTTAACTGATTATTAATTAGTTTTTCCGACTTATATATAGTTACCGATTTTTTGATCTCGTCACTTCGAACCAGTTTCTGAAGAAGGTTGCAACATGGCATCCGAAACGTCAAACCTTTTATTAAAAGACGCACGTCAAAACCCGAAAGTTTCTACTGTTAGTTCTAGTTTTAGTTCTAATTTTAGTTTAATTCACACCGGCCGTGAAAGCCTTCGTACTCAAACATTTAATGTTGTAAGAACTTATGTAATAATCGGTTTAGAATCATGAAGTTTTCAGGAACTATATTAAAAAGTATGCAGATTCGATTAAAAGAAGCAAAACTGTTCCCATATTTGAGATTAAAATGTTCTGGTTGATTAAATCAAAAAGTATCAAAAATCAACGCATTTTGTTATAAAAAATTATAACTTTGTTAAACTTCCAATCGGAATCTTCAAATTTTTAAGGACAACTCCAAAAAGGTTGTAGATTTAAATAAGAAATACCATTTTGCTTCAAAAGTTGTTTATAATAAAGTTTTAGGTGCTTAAAGTTGATAATATAAGAAAACATCAAAAATTCAAACATTTAATGTTATAATAATTCACATCTTATTTAATAATCGGTTTGGAATCATGAAATTTTCAGAAATTATGCTAAAAAGTATGCAGATTTGATTAAAAGAAGCGAAATTGTTCCCAAATTGAGATTAAACTGTTCTGGATGATTAAATCAAAAAGTATCGAAAAACAACGTTTGTTATAAAAAATCATAATTTTTTTAAATATCAAATTGAAATCTTCAAATTTTTAAGGAAAACTCTAAAAAGGATGTAGATTTAAATAAAAATATGATTCTGCTTCAAAAGATGTGTATTAGAACATTTTAGGTACTTAAATTTGAAAGTATAAGAAAACGTAAAAAATTAATACATTTATGATTATAAAAATTCATAACTTATTTAATAATCGGTTTGGAAACATAAAATATTCAGGAATTATACTAACACGTGTGCAGATTCTATTAAAAGCAGCGACACTGATCCAAAAATTGAAACTAAAGTGTTTTTGGGTGATTAAATCAAAAAGTATCGAAAATCAACGTTATTTTGTTATAAAAAATCATAACTTTTTTAAATATCAGATTGGAATCTTCAAATTTTTAAGGGAAACTCTAAAAAAGGTGTAGATTTAAGTAAAAAACATGATTCTGCTTCAAAAGTTGTTTATTAGAACATTTTAGGCGCATAAAGTTGAAAGTATAAGAAAATATCAAAAATTCAAACAATTAATGTTATAAAAATTTATAACCTATTTAATAATCGGTTTGGAAACATAAAATTTTCAGGAATTATACTAACACGTATGCAGATTCTATTGAAAGAAGCGAAACTGATCCAAAGATTGAAACTAAAGTGTTTTAGGTGATTAAATCAAAAAGTATCGAAAATCAACGTTTTTCTGTTGTAAAAAATCATAACTTTCTTAAATATCAAATTGGAATTTTCAAATTTTTAAGGGAAACTCTAAAAAGGGTGTAGATTGAAATAAGAAATACGATTCTGCTTCAAAAGTAGCTTATACAAATTTTTGAGATGCTTAATGTTGAAAGTATAAGAAAACGTCGAAAAATCAAGCGTTTAATGTTATAATAATTCATATCTTATTTAATAAGTGATTTGGAATCGTGAAATTTTCAAGAATTGTACTGAAAAGTATGCAGATTTGATTAAAAGAAGCAAAACTGTTCCTAAAATTGAGATTAAAATGTTCTGGGTGATTAAATCAAAAAGTATCAAAAATCAACGCTTTTTGTTATAAAAAATCATAACTTTGTTATACTTCGAATTGGAATCTTCAAATTTTTAAGGAAAACTCTAAAAAGGTTGTAGATTTAAATAAGAAATACCACTTTGCTTCAAAAATTGTTCTTAATAAAGTTTTAGGTGCTTAAAGTTGATAGTATAAGAAAACGTCAAAAATTCATACATTTATGATTATAAAAATTCATAACTTATTTAATAATCGGTTTGGAAACATAAAATATTCAGGAATTATACTAATACGTGTGCAGATTCTATTAAAAGGAGCGATACTGATCCAAAAATTGAAACTAAAGTGTTTTTGAGTGATTAAGTCAAAAAGTATCGAAAATCAACGTTTTTTGTTATAAAAATCATAACTTTTTTAAATATTAGATTGGAATTTTCAAATTTTTAAGGGAAACTTTAAAAATGGTGTAGATTTAATTAAAAAATACGATTCTGTTTCAAAAGTTGTTTATAAAAACATTTTAGGTGCTTAAAGTTGAAAGTACAAGAAAACGTCAAAATTCAAGCATTTAGTGTTATATAAAATCATAACTTATTTAATAATCGGTTTGGAATCATGACATTTTCAGGAATTATACTAAAAAATGTGCAGATTCTATTAAAAGAAGCGAAACTGTTCCCATATTTGAGATTAAAATGTTCTGGGTGATTAAATCAAAAAGTATCAAAAATCAAAGTTTTTTGTTATAAAAAATCATAACTTTGTTAAGCATTGAATTGGAATCTTAAAATTTTTAAGAGAAACTCTAAAAAGGGTATAAAGTGAAATAAAAATTACGATTCTTTTTCAAAAGTTGTTTCAAATGCTCAAATTTGAAAGTATTTGAAAACAGCTAAGTTCAAACATTTAATGTTGTAAAAATTCATAACTTATTTAATAATCGGCTTGGAATCATGAAATTTTTAGCAATTATATTAAAAAGTATGCAGATTCGATTAAAAGAAGCGAAACTGTTCCCATATTTGAGATTAAAATGTTCTAAGTGATTAAATCAAAAGGTATCAAAAATCAACGTTTTTTGTTATAAAAAATCAGTATCTTATAATATCAATATCTTATTTAATAATCGGTTTGGAAACATGAAATTTTCAGGAATTATACTAAAACGTATGCAGATTCGATTAAACGAAGGCAAACTGTTCCCAAAATTGGGATTAATATGTTCTGGGTAATTAAATCAAGAAGTATCGAAAACGAACGTTTTTCTGTTATAAAATGTAATAACTTTGTTAAACATCGAATTGAAATCTTCAAATTTTTAAGGGAAACTCCAAGAAGGGTGTAGATTTAAATAGAAAATAGGATTCTGCTTCAAAAGTTGTTTATAAAAAAGGCTTGAAGTTTTAAATACATATAAATACTTGATGTTATAAAAATTAATAACTTAAACTTAATAACTTTAATAAAAGAAGTTCAAATGACGTTATGACACCTCCTTTTATTCTCCCTATATTTTCTTTGTCTCTCCCGATCCTTCCTTCGCTTCTCATTCAAAGCATTATCATCCGTAATTAATTTCTTAAAATTTCTCCGCCTCTTATCCCTTTCCCTTTCCTTCTCCAAATGATTTTTAAGCTTTTCAGGATCCTCTTTCAATTTAAACCTAAATTTTTGCATCCTACTCGTAAATTCCACATCTAAAACCAAAATAATTTCATCTCTACAATTCCAATAATCACAAATACTTACTTAACGGATCTGGAATTCTCGTATGATTATAAGAACTCATTTCGTAACTTTCTTTACACTCAACAAACTCCACTTTCGGTGTGGTGATTTTTTTGTGTGGCACAACGTTGGGTTTTAATTTTAATCTACACACCGATAACTTTTTTTTGTAATAATTGAAATATCCCCAATTCTCTGAGTCATTTTCTAACTAAAATTGAGTCTATTATTATTATTATTAGGATATTATTGTTACAATTTACGTCGAAATGGTCCTCGCAGCAAATGAGATTCGAAGCCGTACTTGGATCTTTAAGCACTCCAACAGCTTTGAACCACTTTATTCGACGAATTTGGCTCCGGGGAACTTTTACAAAATATAACTCAGTATTCTTAAGCTTATTGTTATTGCAATTTGGTACAAAACAGGTTATTTTTGAGTTTAAACTCATCTTTAATTATTAATTTATTGATTTTTGGAGGTTATGTCAACTTTTTTTTTTTAATCTTTACCCCTCTAATTAACTAAGCTTTTTAACGTTTATTTAATAGCCTGAAAAGATTATGTGGTTAATTCTAAACCCATTTAATTCGTTTTTGTGGTTTATTAACACCTTAATAAATATAAAACAAATATTACAGTTTTCTGTAAATTTTACTAAATTTAGCGATTTATTCCAAAGATGTCGCTTTAAATTGTTAAATTTCTTTGAGTTACTCCTGAGGATTCTGTTATCCGAATACAAAAAGGAATATTACGGAAATTTTAGGAACTTGCTTCAAATTTAATTTAATCATGACATAACATTAAACCAGGAAATAAATATTATTGCAATTATTTAATACCAGTACCACTTTACAGGGAGGCGCAAAATTCTTTGCTAATAAACAATAAATCTATGTTAAAAGAGAAAAATGTTGAGCCAGCCAGATGATACTCACCATCTGGTTAAATTACACAATCATCTGCGGTTTTTTTTTATTAACTAATCGGTTAAAAGTTTCATTTATCATTTCTTTAAATCAATTTCAAACGAAGATTTTTTCTTATAACAAATAAATTTGTTTATTGTTAATGTTTATATCTTTGGTACGTTTGGCGGTGAAAGTGGTTTTTTTTCGGGGCGTGTAAAGTGGAAGTTTCTATTTTCGCCAAACCGCGTAAAGCATCTTCTCAATTTCAACCGTACACTTAACCTCCATTATGTAACGAAATTCCATTTGGAATTATGCACCATACGGAACTTTGTACTCAAACGCACATTCATGTGGTGGATATCTCATTAAGAGTTCGATTTAACTCGATTAACCGAAATTGATTTTGTACAAAACTCAATTTCAAACAGAATTGTTAAATAGTTAACAAGTTATGTTAAAAGGGAACACGTTTTTTGTTATTACAATGTAGGATAATTCGTTTAAAATTGTCTAAAGTTATCTTGGAATCTATGGTAATGCTTAAATTACTAAGAGGATATTTCATAATGTTAATTACTATTAATGTATCGTTGAAGTGAAGTGAAGGAAACTTAATGTAATGAATTTTAATTGGGCTAAATCAAATTTTTTGATTTCAACAACAATTTAGATCTGGTGTGGGGATTTACTCACATATAATAAATAAAATAATCAGTATTTTTGAAAATTGATTTTGTATTAGTAAAATGAAAAATTGACTTCCTTTGGCTGAAGTCTATTGAATATAATAATAAATGAATTTATACAAAACGTAAAAAAGAATAACCGATTTCTTGATTTTTGAAAAAGTAATTAAAATCAATATGGCAGGGAATATGTGCCACACTGGTCTAATTTTTTATAAACAACTTAAATTGTTGTAATTATAATCAAATTAGCTACAACTAATATGCTGCGTTTCCCAAGCTTTCCCATGAAGTACTAGAAAAGCAGCAAATTCATACAACTTTCATATTTTCGTATTTTTCTTGACATTGACGTATCTGAGAGCAAAAATTAAAGAGACCAGTACTGTTAACAATAAAATTTGCTACAACTACTGTTTGAAATTTTTTTTTGTAAAATGCTTTGTTTCCCGAGTAATACTATACAGGGTGAATAAAAAGTCTGGAACACCTGAAATATCTTCAAAACGAGCTTCTTTTTGAAAGAATCCTGGTGTCAAATAAATTTGTCGTCTTTGCCTATATCTAAATTTTTTTTACAGTGGCGTTCATTTTCGGGGTCAAAGGGGGCAACATTTTTTTAAATGGCAACCTCAATTTTTATTCGATAATATGAAAGAATACATTTCTTTGAGTATCTTAGAGCAAATTTTGCATTAGGTTACATAAGAAGAATTTTTTTTTATTAATAATTATTTGATTTGGAAAAATTTCTAGAAGGCGTTGTAATTCCCATTTTTTATTCCATAGCATGCTAGGCCAGTTGACTTTAAGAGTAAGCTTTGTATTACGTTGCCATGTAATAATTTTATGAAAAGAAATACATTTATAAGCAGAAATTGATTTTATCTACAACTATTGTTCACAGTTCTGACACGGCCTACCAATCAAAAATTAAATATTAACAGAAATTACAGCTTTCTTATATTGAGGTTATGTCTGAAATGTCTATCAAGTTTATTTTTTTTTCCTTTTTTTAATTTTTATTTCAAAATTAAATAGTTGTAGATAAAGTATAGTATGTATTCAACTTGCGTATAATGGATGTTACCCACTCAGATTACAACACTCGCTCGCTTTGCTCGCACGAGTTGCAACTTCATCTTCGTGGGTAACAGCCGCCATTATACACTTATTGAATAATATACTATTATTTACATGCAAAACAAAACAGAAAATGTCAATGAATAAGATGCTCAAACTGTTGTCCATTAACTATTTGACAGTGCCTTAACCTAAAAATAAACTCATCTTGCACTCTATCAATTATGTCTGATTCAATTTTTCTTATCTCCTCCCGAATTCGTACCTTTTTTTAATTATAATAATAATAAATTGCTTTATTGTTCTCATAGCATACAAAAAAAAATCATTGTAATAAGTCATTGAAAATAATAGAAGAAAAAACAGAAAAGTAAATTCAATAATCACCAATAATAAAAATAAAAAAAAACAAAAAATTCATGCATGAGAACAATCTTATGGCATGGTTCAACTCATGTTGTTCTTCCACCATATCATAGAGAATTTAAACATTAATAAAATGCGCATTAACTGTAACATACAACAAAAAAACATTATGCAGGTGCAAAGCCATTTTTACAAACGTGACGGTCATTGCAGCTCATGCAAATGATTTAGCACGTTTCTTTTAAAAGTTATTGATGATGCACACACTGTCCACTCAAGAGGAAGTTCATTCATTGTCTTAGCGATCTGATAGGAAAATGACTTTTTGAAAAAAGCTTTATGAAAAATAGGTGGAGATAATCTCCCTTTAAATCTAATATTTACAGTGTGTACATCCCCGCGAAAACTTATTTTGTTATAAAGGTAAGGTGACTTACAAAGATGGAGGACCCGGTGGTAGAGGCATACAGAGTGCAGCACCCTCCTTCCCTGCATGTTTAACCATTTTAATTCCGGCAACTTATCACTTACATGATCACTTCGGTGAAGACCAAACAGTAAACGTATACCTACAGGAATTTTGTGTTTTTTGAATTTTTTCTTTTAAGACATAGGACAAAAAAGGAGAGTACAGAACATCTGCATAGTTAAAAAGTGACAAGACCAGACTCTCATCTCAAATTCTGATTCAAATCTCAAATTCTCATCTAATAAGACACCCAAATTCCTTACTGTTTTATGGAATTGTAAAGGTTCATTGTTCACAAATAGATGGAGGCTGTCTGCAACTTGCTGTCTGGGGCTCTTTGGGCCGAAAACAATGGCAAGAGACTTACTCCGATTTATATGAAGCCCATGGCGGTCGGAAATATCACATAAAGCTTGCAAATCACTATTTATATCTATACCCGCTTTAACCACCTCAGACGGAAGGAAGGAATAGTACAACTGAGTGTCGTCTGCGTAAAAGTGCGCCTTACAATGTGAAATGGATTTGATAAAATTTGATGTGTATAATGCATACAAAATAGGCGAAATAATCGATCCCTGCGGTACCCCCGATCCCACTTCCAGAAAATCAGAGCAATCAACCCCCACCGATACTGCCTGTTCTCTACCTGTTAGAAAATCATTTAATAGCTTTTTTGCATTATATTCGAAACCAATATAACCTAGTATTGCTGTAAGTGTTTCATGATCAACTGTGTCAAATGCCTTAGAATATTCCAGCAAACAGAGTACTGTCATCCTACCCCTATCATTTTCCCGCAGGATATCAATGATATTGTGAATTAGATCTGTAGTACAACTAAATCCCCTTCTAAAACCGGACTGGTTTACCGGTAGAATATTATTATCTTCCACATAACTATTTATTTGTTCAAATAAAATTCGTTCTTTATCAAAGCGTTTTTCCAGATGGTAGGAAATACACCACTAACAATACAAGTATTAATGAGTTTACAAAGGTAAGGCGTAATATGTGGACAACACAAATCAATACATTTAATATTGAGGTAGTCATATCCGGAAGCTTTGCTTTTGATAGTGCTGATAGCCTTTTCAATTTCGAACTCATCAACAGTATGAAAACCGAAGGTTAAATTATTTAGTTTATTGCTGTTATAAAAGTGTAGTAATTCAAGATCAGGACTATGGCTTCTGGGTATTGCATTGACAAAAAAGTTGTTAATAGCGTTTGGGGAACCAAGGTGTTTAAGTATTGAAATAATATTTCTTATAATTTCTTTTAAACATTCCAGTATTTCTTAATGCCTTCCAGCTGTTATTTGTAATTCCCAATTGAAATTCAAAGTATGCCTTACGTTCTAGAATTATTGATTTATTAACCAAATTACGCAACGACTTGTAATAATCCCATTTAGCAGATGTTTTATTTGACTGATAATTTGTAAAAGCTTTATCTCTTAAGCTTTGCATAAATTTTATATTCTGTGTTATCTAAGGTGATGGGGGACCAGTATGTGTACTTACTTTGACGGGTGCATGGACATTTAAGATATTAGTTATCTGTTCCATTAAGAATTCGGCTTTGGCGTTAGAATCTTCTATGTCAAAGATATAAAAAAAAGGAACTTGTCGAAGATCTTTTAAAAAACTGTCGTAATGAAAGTTTCCGAATGACCTGGCTATATTTTGAAAGCTTGATTTCATACATGTTGCGCCCTTAAGGTTACAATAAATTATATTGTGATCTGAGATACCATGGGTGGTATACACACTACTTACGTTGACCATATGGGGTTTCGAAATGTAAAAAACGTCAATTAGTGTAGAAGTCTGGCCCGTCACCCTTGTGGGGTCATTTATAAGCTGTACCAAACCAAAAGAATCACAAACATCTGTTAAAGCCATGGTTGACACGTTGCCCGGCATTAATAAATTAATATTCAAATCACCAGTAAACACAACAGTGTCCACTGTCGGCACCACATTTGCAAACGTAGTCTCCAACTCATTTAAGAATGATCTATAGAAAAACTTAGGTGGCCGATAAGCAACGCCCACAGCAAATGCGGTACCATCCAAGCGAAATGACAATCATAGCTGCT